CCCGTGATACTCTCATTCACCGTCCGTTCAAACCGTGCCAGTGTCGTTTCAGGAACGCTCCCTGTATCCGTCCAGCTTCGTAGTGCTATCCGCTTCCCATTGTTGTAGATGCATGCCTTCCTGTTGACCCAGTCGATCTCGGGGTTGAACCGCATCAAGAAATCTCGCCCCAAGATGAAATCTAAACCTTTGATGTTTGTAATCGGCAATGTCGGCTTCCACCTTAGCAACCCTATGTGCAGCTGCAGTGATGCTTCGCCGTGGATGTGAAGTTTCGTACCGTCCACCATCGTTGCCGTGAACTTGGTCTCCTCCGAAGGTTCTCCAATTTTCTCCAACGTCCCGCGGTCGCACACCGAGTGAGACGCACCGCTGTCCACCAGTGCCTAGAGGCGTCGCCCGTTGCAGATGACCTCGAGTAGTAGTCGTTGTTGCCGCTCCTAGTAACCGTAGATGGTCTCGCTTATAGGATCGTAGGGTACGTCGAATAGATCATCCCTCGGTCCTGCGCTCGAAGTTGTTGACTCCATATCAATTTCCAACTGAGTAGGGTTGGAAGGATTTATCCGAGGCCGATTCAGCTTCGTCTTGGCCTGGAACCTTCCCTTAAGCCTTTGCATCTGTGTAGGCTTCTCCTGTGGGCAATGGGTGTTGGAAAGCTAGAATTGATACATTGAATGATGAGCCAAGAGGCTCTTTAGTACAAACAATGAGCAAGAGAGAGATGAGAGGGAAGCTTACCCTATTGGCCAATAAGTTGGCCAATGGGTGAGCTTGCTTGTGACCCAAGCAACCACAAATGTGTGTTGGTTGGGATTGGTTGAGCTAAGGACCAATCCCAACCAACCACAAAATGTAGTTGGAGGGTACACTAAGCAACCCCCCAATTTATAAATGTGCTACACTTCTAGCCTATGTATGTTGTATGAAATATGAAATTACAACACAACCCCCCAACATGCATAAGGCTAGAAGGCTAGAATCAAGAGGCGGGAGGCGACTTAGGAGGAGTGAGGCCAAGAAGACGAAGTAGGAAAGAGTGAGCGGCATGAGGAAGAGCTTTTGTGAAGATGTCGGCAAGGTTGGCCGCCGAGTCAACCTTGTCGAGGCGAAGGTGCCCCGCCTGAACAAGATCGCGAATGAAGAAATGACGGAGCTCAATGTGCTTGGAGCGCCCGTGAAACACAGCATCTTTGGTGAGGTGAATGGTACTAGCATTGTCACACCAAATTGTGGGACAGCGTTGGGGGGCACCAAGTTCCTCAAGAAGGAAGGTGAGCCAGCGGGCCTCTTGCGCAGCCATGGTGGCGGCATACAATTCCGCCTCGCAGGAGGAGAGGGCTGCAGCCGAGGAGCGGGTGGAGCGCCAGCTGATAAGGCCGCTGCCAAGAGAGAAGCCATAGCCCTGGGAGGAGCGACGATCTGGCCGGGAATCAGCCCAGGAGGAGTCACTGTAGCCGCTGAGAAGAGGTGGGGAGGGACCGCCAAGGGTAAGGACATAGTCCTTGGTGCCACGAAGGTACCGGAGGACACGCTTGGCGGCCTGCCAATGCTCTTCCGTATGCTTGCCTGCGCCAACAAAACGAGCGAGGACGCTGATGGGGTAGGCAAGGTCAGGGCGAGTGGAGACCATGGCGTACATGAGGGAGCCGATGAGCTCGGGATAAGGATGGGAGGAGGCTGAGGGGGAGGTGGGTGGAGAGAGGTGGTGCCCGACAGAAAGAGGAGTAGGTTGGGCGCCACCGCGGACCATGTCAAACCGCTCCAAGACCTGCTGCAAGTAATGACCCTGGGAGAGAGAGATGGTGCGGGCGGAGCGGTCGCGGGTGATGGTCATGCCCAGGTAATGCTGCAGCTCGCCCAAGTCCTTGCATTTGAGACGGCTGCCCAACTCAGCCTTAACACGCTCCAATTCGCCAAGGTCGGCAGTGAGCAGAATCATGTCATCGACATACACAAGGATGTAGAACGGGGAGGGGCAGGTGCGGAGGAAGAGGCTGGCGTCAGAGCGGGAGGTGCGGAACCCAAGTTCAGCAAGGGTGGTGGCAAGCCTAGCATGCCACTCCCTCGGGGCCTGTCGAAGCCCATACACAGGGCGATGCAGCTGCCAGGCAGAGTCTGCAGGGAAGGGAAGGTGAAAACCGGCTGGACGCTCCATGTAGATAAGCTCGCGGAGGACGCCTTGGAGGAAAGCGTTAGAGACGTCCATCGAGTGGATCTCCATATTGAGGCGAGCGGCGAGGTCGAGCACGGCGCGAACAGTAGCAGGCTTGGCAGTGGGAGAGAAGGTATCGAAGAAGTCAAAACCATACCGCTGCGTGAACCCCTTGGCACAGTAACGAGCCTTATAGACGGGCGGCTCCCCTGGCAGCTGTTTGACGCGAAACACCCACTTCCCTTTCACCACGTTCGTAGAGGAGGGAGGGCGAGGCACATCAACGAAGGAGGAGTTGGCGACAAAGGCCTCCAGCCCCTTGATAATGGCGGCGAGCCAGAGTGGGGCGTCGGGGCAAGCCATGGCCTCCTCATACGTGGTAGGGATGAAAACGGAGGGAGCAGAGGAGAATGCGAATACTGGTGTCCCAGAAAGGTCGAAGGTGATGGGTAGAAGGGAAGGGTCACAGAGGTGGAGGTCAAGGAACTCCTCATGCGAGTCCTCGGAGAGGGAGGTGTGGAAGGAGCGGATGACCGTTGGTGCCGCTGGTGCCGCTGCACGTGCTGCTGCTGGTGCCGCTGCTGGTGCCGCTGCTGGTGCCGCTGCTGGTGCCGCTGCTGGTGCCGCTGCTGGTGCCGCTGCTGGTGCCGCTGCTGGTGCCGCTGCTGGTGCCGCTGCTGGTGCCGCTGCTAGTGCCGCTGCTGGTGCCGCTGCTGGTGCCGCTGCTAGTCCCGCTGCTGGTCCCGCTGCTGGTGCCGCTGCTGGTCCCGCTGCTGGTCCCGCTGCTGGTGCCGCTGCTGGTCCTGCTGCAGGTGCCGCTGCTGGTCCTGCTGCTGGTGCCGCTGCGGGTGCCGTTGCGGACGCTGCTGCTGGCGCCGCTGCTGGAGAGGTGGCAGAGGGGGCTGCTGCAGGAGGAGGTTGATGCAGAACAGCCTGGAAGAAGTGGTGAAGGAGAGGGGAGAGTGGGGGGAGGGTAGAGGTAGAGAGGGTAACAGGGGGCGGTGCACCAAGGATACTGTCACGTGACCTGGTATGGGGGTACCGGGTAAGTACGGTGCGGGGAGGGGGGGAAGGACGAGTCGGCGGCGAGGGAGGTGAAGGAGGGGCGGGAGTGGCACTAGGAGAGGAATGTGTGGGGGAGACGAGAGAGGACAGAGGTTCCGGGTCAAATATATCACCAGACGAGGGAGGGGCACCGTGGGATGGGGACGACGGTGGGGGGGGGGAGGGAGGATGGGGGGAGGAGGAAGTAGTGGGGGAGGGGTGGTGTCAGACCAGACAAGGGGACGGGGAAGACGGGGGAGTGGGTCAGTGGATGGGGGAGAGGAGTAGTAGGGAGTGGACTCATCAAAGACCACATCCCTACTGCGGAATAGACGACCTGAGGGGGGATGGAGGAAAAGGTAGTCAGGTGAGGAGGAGTTATGACCGAGAAAGATGCAGGGAAGGGTACGAGGGGCAAGCTTTCCCATAGAGCGGGAGCGGTCAGTGGGGTGAAGGAGAACATAAGCCTTTGAGCCCCAGACACGAAGAGACGAGACATCAGGTTTGTTGTTCGTCCACAGCTCAGTGGGGGTGGTGGATGGGAGAAGAGGGTGAGGGTAAAGGTTAGTAAGGAGGGCGGCATGAAGGAGGGCGTAGCCCCACAGAGAAGGAGGGCAGGAGGCGTGGACAAGAAGACACCGGGCAGTTTTGGTGATCTCTCGAACACGACTTTCAGCCACACCGTTCTGCTGTGGGGAGTGAGGGAGGGTGTAAGTCTGAAGAATGCCATGAGACTGACAATAGGAGGATATTTGGTTGTTAAGGAACTCACCACCACCATCAGAGTGAAGGCGGCAAACAGGGCGCCCAAAATGGGTATTTGCCCGCTCGAGCCAGGCGATGATCGCAGCCGGGGCATCTGCCTTCGTCCGAAGGAGAGAGACGGACGAGTACCGACTGTGATCATCGACGAGTACGAGGAGGTATCGATGGCCCTGGCGAGTGGGAGAGGGATTGGGGCCCCAGAGGTCCATGTGAACAAGATCAAGTGGCTGCGCAGCAGCGGAGGGGGAGCTCCGGTGCGGCTGCTGCTTGAGCTTGCTCTGAACGCAGACGGTGCAGGGGGGGGCAGGGGATTTGGGGAGGGGAGGGAGGGAGGAGGGGAGACCGTGGAGGAGACCGGTGGAAACAGAGGAGCGTAGAGTAGCGAAGTTAGGGTGACCTAGCCTGTGATGGAGGAGGACGGCAGGGTGGGAGAGGGAGCGACAGGAGCAAGAGGAGTCAAGGGGGGGGCGGGAAGGGAGGTCCGGGTTAGTGGGAGGGAGAGGAGGAGGTGGGATGAGAGGGTGGAGGGGGGGACGAGAGATGACCTGACAGGAGGGGAGGCGAGGAACCTGAAGGGTGTACAGACGGGAGCGAGGGCAAAAGGGAATGCGAGAAAGGAACTGACCGGTGGCGGAATGGTAGAGAGCGCAATAGTTAGCATGAGCTGGGAATACTGTGGTGATACCGGCTTGCTGAAGGGACCTTTGCGAAAGAAGATTAGCGCAAAGAGAGGGTATGTGGAGACCGGTGACAGTGCCTGAGGGGAAGAGTGGGCAGGGGAGAGTCGAGGTGTTATGGCAGGGGATAGAGAAGCTGCTGTCGGCACCAAGGAGGGAGGTAGGCGTTGGGAGGGGGCGCAAGGCGCCAGCATCGCGAAGGACTGTGTCAGTGGCGCCGCTGTCGAGGACAAAATCGACAGTGGAGGAGAGGGAGGAGGAAGGGACAGAGGACTGGAATGCAGTTTCGTTAGTGCTAGAGGAGTATGTGGCAGGTGCAGTTGATGTGGCTTGATTGACCATACCAGCGATACCAACGGATGAGAAAGGTGGGACGATGCTTGAAGTGGCGGAGCTTGTGGAACAATGCGGAACTGAGTTCTGCTGGGAAGTTGGGGGAGGAGGAGGAAGAGGCAGCTGCGGTTGTAGGTCAAGGTGCTGCTGCAGGCGGTGAAGCAACTGCTGGAGCTTGAGGAGGAGGTGCCAGAGCTGCTGCTGGTGCTGCTGTTGCTGCGGTTGCTGCTGCTGCTGCTGTTGCTGCGGAGGAGGAGGAGGAGGAGGAGGAGGAGGAGGAGGAGGAGGAGGAGGAGGAGGAGGAGGAGGAGGAGGAGGAGGAGGAGGAGGTAGAGAGAAGGGTTGACTCGGGGCATGGTGGGCTTGGGTGGAGAGTTTACACTGAAGTCCCCGAGTCGGGCCATAGCGAGGCACATATTCACGAGGAGAGAAGGCTGCTGCTGCGCCGCAGCCTGCGCTCAAACCCCTGACACCACAATATCCTGCGAGTCTCCCTTGACCACCACCACAGCTGCCACTATGCCCTCCTCCATGCCCACCGGCACCACTGCTGATGCATGCCAGCGCGACTGTTGCCATGGGGGAAGCAATGTGGGGTGTGGGCGGTCACGGCATGGCGCAGGCGAGCAGGGCATGAAGGTGTGCGCAGGCAGCTGACGGTATGCGCAGGCGGGTGTGCTGTATGTGCTCCCAGGTGTGCGGTATGTGCTGTCAGGTGTGCGGTATGTGCTGTCAGGTGTGCGGTATGTGCTGTCAGGTGTGCGGTATGTGCTGTCAGGTGTGCGGTATGTGCTGTCAGATGTGTTGTATGCGCGTGCAGATGTGTTGTATGCCAGGGAGGTGGGCAGGGGGCGGACGAGGGGAGGGGGACAGCGAGCGGGGAAGGAGGGCGTGCAACGAGTGCGCGGACGGGGAGAGTGTGGACGACCGGAGCGCGGACGAGCAGGGCGTGCAGACGAACAGGGCGCGCGGACGGCCAGGGTGCGGATGACTGGGGCGCGCGGACGGGCAGGGCGCGGACGCGAAGGGCGGATGAGCAGGGCGTGCGGACGGGTAGGGCGCGGACGAGCAGGGCGTGCGGACGGGCAGGGCGGGGACGCGAAGGGCGGATGAGCAGAGCGCGGACGACCAGGGCGCGCGGTCGGACTAGCAAGGGCGTGCGAGTTGCAGATCTGAGCACGAAATGCGCAGATCTGAGGGCAGGAGGAGTAGAGCAGGGCGCGGGAGGAGTAGATCTGAGCTCGGGAGGAGGAGGTGTGAGCTCGGGAGGAGTAGATCTGAGTTCGGGAGGAGTAGATCTGAGCTCGGGAGGAGTAGATCTGAGCTCGGGAGGAGTAGATCTGAGCTCGGGAGGAGTAGATCTGAGCTGGGGAGGAGTAGATCTGAGCTCGGGAGGAGTAATTCTGAGCTCGGGAGGAGGAGATGGGAGCTCGGGAGGAGTAGATCTGAGCTCAGGAGGAGTAGATCTGAGCTCGGGAGGAGTAGATCTGAGCTGTTGAGGAGTAGATCTGAGCTCGGGAGGAGTAGATCTGAGCTGGGGAGGAGTAGATCTGAGCTCGGGAGGAGTAGATCTGAGCTGGGGAGGAGTAGATCTGAGCTCGGGAGGAGTAGATCTGAGCTGGGGAGGAGTAGATCTGAGCTCGGGAGGAGGAGATGTGAGCTCGGGAGGAGTAGATCTGAGCTCGGGAGGAGTAGATCTGAGCTGTTGAGGAGTAGAACTGAGCTCGGGAGGAGTAGATCTGAGCTCGGGAGGAGTAGATCCGAGCTGGGGAGGAGTAGATCTGAGCTCGGGAGGAGTAAATCTGAGCTCGGGAGGAGTAGATCTGAGCTGGGGAGGAGTAGATCTGAGCTCGGGAGGAGTAGATCTGAGCTGGGGAGGAGTAGATCGGAGCTCGGGAGGAGGAGATGTGAGCTCGGGAGGAGTGAATCTGAGCTTGGGAGCACCGTAGTAGGACTACGTCTGAGGGACGGGGAGGAGAGGGTGGCCTAAGGACCGAGGGATCAAGGCGTGAGCCGATAGCTCTGATACCATGTTGGAAAGCTAGAATTGATACATTGAATAATGAGCCAAGAGGCTCTTTAGTACAAACAATGAGCAAGAGAGAGATGAGAGGGAAGCTTACCCTATTGGCCAATAAGTTGGCCAATGGGTGAGCTTGCTTGTGACCCAAGCAACCACAAATGTGTGTTGGTTGGGATTGGTTGAGCTAAGGACCAATCCCAACCAACCACAAAATGTGGTTGGAGGGTACACTAAGCAACCCCCCAATTTATAAATGTGCTACACTTCTAGCCTATGTATGTTGTATGAAATATGAAATTACAACAATGGGGAGCCTAAATACTATGCTGCGGGGAGAGAATATTAACTCCTTGGAACGCACGACCCTTTTCAACGCTCCAGAGTGGTTGGCCCAAGGCTTTTCCTTGGCCTTGAAATCTCCCCTGAATTTTTTAAAGGCTTGAAAACCTCGAGAGGGAATATTCTTACTCTCGGGGGTGTTCGGCTGGAGTTTCCCGGTCGGTGCAGAGTCTTGTTTCGCGGAGCCTCCATTTGTCTCGGCGATTTCCCCCGTTGCCGGCTTGTCGTGGCGTTTTAAATTCGCGCCATCGTGTCCTCCTTTTTTCGCCATCGTGGATGTCGCACTGTTGTTGCCCTGCAGCTCCGCTCGTGCCTTCTTCATTTTCCAACACGCCAAGAGTCGATGTCCTGCTGCGCCGCAAAATTCGCACTTCTCATATTTTGTCGGCCGCTGCTTCGCGTCGATCTTGTCGATATCCATCGGGTCGGCGGTCGGGGGTGGTGCCGATCGCTTCGTGTCGAATGATCTGTTCGGCACTTGGCGTCGTGTCTCGGGTTGATCTCGCGTCAGCGCATCGAATCTCTCTGCTGCACACACCATGTTGCGGTAGTTGTTGTAGTTCGCGGCAATCACCTATTGGCGGACTTCCATCTTTAGCCCCTCAGTATACGCTTGGATTTTTTCCCCTTCGGTCAGGTCGGTAATTCGGTTAAAGAGGCTCTCCATCTGCTGCGTGTATTGTGTTACCCTGCCGAACTGTTTATGCCGATGAATCTGCTGCCGCGCCATGTAGCTGGAGTTGATTGGTTCGAAACGTTGAATTAAAGCTTCCCGAAACTGCGTCCATGACCCCTCGCCTCAGATCTTATTGCTGTTGTAAATCCACTCGAGCGCCGGGCCTCGTAACAGTGTCGCTGCGAGCCGAATCCGCATTGCATCGTGTGTCGGGACCGTACAGCCAACGGCCTCGAAGTAAATTTCGAGGGTCGCAATGAATCGACGGACGTCGGTGTCTCTCGCATTCGGATTGAACGTCTCCGGTTGCCTCGGACGTGCCGCCTCAAGATTCACTGTAGCCACTGCCGCTGTTGCTGGGTGAAGTGTCAGTGTCGCCGTTGCTGCTGCTGCCGTCACTGCTGCGTTCGCTGCTGCTATGGCGGCTGCCGACTGGTTCGCGAGAAGCACCTCTATTCGCTGGAGTGCCGCTCGCGTCTGGTCCAAGCCGGTGTGTAACTCCGTAATTTTTCGTACGGAATTATCACCATTTTCCTCCATTTGGCAATTTACAGGAAAATGTGCGACGAAAATAATTAAATTCTAGGCGCTGGTCATCTTACTGTGAGTCGAATCGACTGTAGAAATGACGATCGCTGATTCTGTAGGTCGCGTAAATCTCCCTTAGTCGAAATTTGCGTCCGATCTCGGCCGTTGAGAAGAAATTCGATCCGACGCTCCAAATTCCAAGTTTTTTGGGCGAAATTCTCAGGGCCGTTGAGATTCGAATCGATCCGACGGTCAAAATTCCAACTTTTTCGCCACTGGACCTGAGGAGGGTTCGAAAACCGGTTCGACGGGGACGTTAAAAAATAGCGCGGAATTGGTTTACGTACCCGAAATCGGCGCTTTCCGTTGTCGCCCCCGCGGTTTTAAAAGCTAGTTTTTAGTGGTCGAAAACTTCGCGTGTAAACAGGCTCTGATTACCAAGTGTGAGGATCTAGGATCGAGCTCAGAAAAGAGAATTGTAATTGATTGATTCACCTGGGTACAAGGCAAGGCTATATATAGGCTCGACACAAGGCAGGTAACCCAGGTGTTACGCGAATGTTCTGAGGGTCACGAAGCGTCCCGAACAGAACCTTCCCAAACTCAGTAGAAAGCAATTCGGTGGGAACCGAAAAGGCTTGAGTTCGGTACACGTAACCTGGTTCGGTGCTATAACTATAATAACATATAGGAATGCACCTAGCCTAGGAAATCAAGCATATCTATGCATGATAAATAAAACCCAAGCTAGATATAGCATAATAAAGTCTAGGCAAGCTAGCAAAGCCAGCATAAGCCGTCGTACTCTCAAACCTGTGGAGGGGCAGACACGGGAGAGGAGTGTAAGTTAAGTTGTTGGCCTGTAGGTATAGGACCTGATGCAGGTTGAGCGGGATGTGAGGACAGGGGGGGGGGCGCTTAGAGGGGAAGTGAGGGAGGGGGGAGTAGGTGAACTGACCCTTTGCCTCCTTTGCCTGTGTTCTTCCGCTGTCAGCCGGCTTGGTTTTCGTTGTCCCTGCCTAGGTGTGAAGGAAAGAGAGACTCAGAAGCTAAGGGGGTGGGTGGGGGAAGCATGGGTGGTTGGTGAGGGGGGGGGGAGCTCCGTGTGTATCCCTCCCCTTCCCATGACATTGCCATGCTGGGCGGGCTGTACGAAGGGGACGATGGCTGCCCAACGGGGCCATTCGTGGGGAACCGGGCCGGACGCGGGGGTTATAGGTGGGGGCCGAGGCGCTGCAGTGGCCTGGAGGTAAGAGCGAGGTGCAAGAGGAGGGGGGAGGGAGGTTTGTGATGGCTTAGTGGTGGCAGGGGGTGGGGGAACGAGTGGGAGATAAGATTTTGAGGTTGTGCCCCAATGCTGGAAGTTGGGGCCTCCCGCTGGTGGCCCCTCCTGTAGACCCCTCCACCGAGGTGTCGTCGCCCCCATGAGACTCCACAGAGCCTTGCGGGAGGGACTTGGCTGCTTGGGGGGGGTTGGTGTGAGGAGGGCCGCCTGTTGGGTGAGAGTATTGGGGATGTGCGGCGGCTTCGGTGGTTCGGGTGTATGTAGGGGTTGGGAGAGAGATGTTGCCGGAGAGAGGCCTCAAGTTTTGAGATGTGTGTAGCTCCACGCGGGAGGGGGGGGGACCTGGTGGGGGAGGAGGTAGGAGGTTGGCAGGAGAGGATTGAGTGGATTTTGGTGTCGGAGAGCATGGCTCCGCCAGGAATGCCAGGGCCCTGGCTGCTCCTCTTGGTGCTCGGAGGAACCCTTGGGGGTGGGGGCATGAGTGTACTGCCCTTGGGGGCGAGGGAGGGGGCGGGGAAGGATGGGAGGCGAGAATGAGCGTGCCCTTGGGAGGCTCTGCCCTTGTCGCACCCGCGTGCTCTCTCGAGGGTCCGCCTGCAAGCGTGGGGTCTGGCGTTGAGGGAAGAGGGGGGGGGGTGTTATAGTCACAATAGGCTTGAATGTGCCTAAAACGAAAGATAGAGAGCACAGACGGATTTCTGCACAGCGGCTTCAAACGTTGATAGCGTTCTGCTCACAGCTGCAAATGACTTGATTCAAATTGGATCTGGAGCGTCTTCACGTCGTCTACAATTAGCAATTTAGATTGCACGATTTGATAAAGAATTGACGACACAGCGTCGGTTTGAACGAACGGTACTATGGCAGCCACTATAGTCTTAGAACACAAGATAGGAAGAGTTACGAGTTGGGAATGACTCCCAGCTCCTACAAACCCCAAGAGCCGAGGTAAAGTGATGTGGAACAGTGCCACACTGTCCCCAACCACGAAGGGTCTCGAAACTACCCTTCACTAGGGCCTACACCAAGTGAAATGTTACACTACACAAAGTAATGTAACTATCTTCAATATCTTGAGGTGTACCCTTTTGGCAAGCTTCGAAATCACTTGAGGCTTGACACCAAGGCTCGGGCTCTTCATCACAAACTCATCCTTGAGTTCTTGATGGGTCTGCTGCACACACCTGCGACATGCCGAACGTTCGACACAAGACAAAATAGAAACCGCGCACGACAAAATAGAAACCGCGCGCGAGACACAAACGACCGCGTAACACGCGTCTAGCGATAACTCGCTATTGACTCGACACACACACTCGACATCATGACTCAACATTCACACACAATTATAAGCATGAAATATATATTATCCCATGCCCTCATACCATTCCATACACACACACATTCACGCACACGGACAACAAGCCGAGTGCAAACCGTAGGGTTGCACCAACAGGGGGCTGGTTTTGGGACTGCGTAGGGGTCGGGGAGCACGGCTCTTCCAAGAAGGCTAGGGCCCTGGCTGCCCCTCTGAATGCTAGAGGGAGCCCTTGCGGGTGGGGGCGGGGAAGTGGTGCTCCTGGAGGAGGGTGGACTGGAAGATGAGGGGTAGAGTTAGGAGATCCCTCAAGAGGCTCTGTCCTCGATGTCTTAGGGGCGGTCTGGTGCCGAGGAGAGGCGGGCGGAGGTTGGGGACAGCATAGCACATGGAGCAGAGACTAGGGGTGTAGACCTTGGTTGGGGGTAGGAAGGGCGATGTGGTGCCAGGGAAAGGTAGAGGGAAGCTGGGGTAGGTGGCTGGACAGCACAGGGAGCAGGGGCAGGGGGTGTAGAGCTTGGTTGGGGGTGGAAAGGGCCGTGTGGTGCTAGGTGGCGGCAGGTGGGTCACCGAAGGGCCTGGCAGGACGGGATGTAGAGGTGCAGCCCACGCTGGATACGGGAGCAGCTGAGGGGGAAAGGGAGGCTGGAGGAGGGAGTACGGCTCGTAGAGGTGTGGAGGCCAGAGTGGAAGTGGGGAAGGCAGGAGGAGGGGTGGAGGAGGTACGTTGTGGGCAGGGAAGTGGGGGAACATGTGGGAGGTGATAGGGAGAAGCTGGGAGGGGAGGGAGGAGGTGTACGGAGTGGGTCAAGGGTGACAAAAGGACGGTGCACAGAGGTACCAAGGGCAGGGAGACAGGGGGTTGGAGGGAGGAAAGCCTGCTGGGGGCCGTGGTGCAGAAGTGGGGGAGAGGGGCGGTAATGGTGGTGGGCAAAAAGGAAGAGTGTGGTGCAGTATGGTGGAGTAGAAAAGGAGATGGCGGACTGGATGAGGTCCTGGAGGGAAGGGGATGGGGTGTGGGAGGAAGGGGAGGACTGTGCGGGAGCGGGTGGGCGCTGGACAGGGGGAAAAGGTGGGGAAGGGGGTGAGCTGTAGGGAGAAAAGGTGAGTGACGGCTTGGGTACCCTGAAGGGAGGCGGGGTGTCGGAGGAATATTGTAATGAAGGTCACAAGGACCTGTATTTTGGAAAGTGTGCCTTTGTATTATTTATTGGTGTTTTTAAGCATTTTTTTCTTCTTCTTGTTTTCCGATTTTTTTTCTCTCTTATGCGGGTATGCAGGTGGTGCTAGCTGCGGGGTATGCAGGTCGTGCTGGCTGCAGGGTGTGCGCGTACTACTGGCAACGGGGTATGCGAGCTGAGCGGACAGTGCTGGCGGCGGCTGTGCAGGTAGTCCTAGCGGCGGCTACGCAGGCAGAGCTAGACGGCGGCGGGCAGAGCTAGTAGCGGCGGCTATGCAGGCAGGGCTAGACGGCGGCGGGCAGGGCTAGTAGCGGCGGCTATGCGAGCTGTGCTAGCGGCAGCAATACGGGAAGTGCTGGCGGGCCGTGCTAGCAGATCAAACTAAGGCCGCGGCGCGGCTAGTGTCATGCACGTCAAAGGAGAGGCTGGGATGCCGCATCCGCGACGCGTGAGAAAAAGCGTTCGCGGCCTCTTGGCTCCGTTCAGCCTCGAAAAACAGCTAACGCGTTTATGACCAGGGCAAAACAGCACGCGCTAAGACATACTAGCTCGAAAACGTGCGAGATAACGAAAATATGCGGAAAAATAACTGAGGCGCGCATTTGAAGTATGCATATTAGGGTTACGGCGATGACGATAAACGGGAAAAATAGTGATTAGGGAGCTAGATCGAGGGACTAAGACGTGAGAGAGCGTCGCGAAATGGGGTAGTTGCTCTTAGATCGAGTAAAATGTGAGTAATAGCTACTAATTGTTTCGAATGGAAAAGCAGCGGGAAGATTAGAGCGGGGGGTAGGAGCGAGTGCGGAGGGAGGGGATGACCGGTGCGTGCCAGGGATAGGAGGAGGACGCTGACGCGAACCACGACCACTAGTGCGAGCAGGACGGACAGGCGACGCAGGGCGAGACGCTCAGCAAGACCTCCAGTAGGACCAGTGTAGGGAGAAGGAGCGGGCAGTGGGGAGGCCGGCTGTAACTGTAACTGTGACGGGACAGGCTGTGGACACTCTAAGGGAGGAGGAGGACCAGTAGAAGGCGGGAGACCAAGAACCTGCTGAAGGAACGGAACGAAGTACGGCCGAGGCCGCGCGGCGACTCCAGACACAGCAGGGACAGCACCAGTACCCCCAGCGGCAGCACCAGCGCCAGCAGCACCTCCAGCTCCAGTACCTCCAGCAGCACCAGTAGCACCCCCAGCAGGACCGCCTCCAGGACCGACAGCAGTAGCCTCAGCGCCAACACCCTCAGCAGCTCCAGCTCCAGTCGTACCCGCAGGCCCAGCAGCTCCAGTACTCCCAGTACGAGCACCTCCGGGACCCGCGGCACCAGCACCCTCAGCAGCTGAAGAACCTCCAGCTCCAGCAGCACGCCTCCAGCGCCGGGCAAACCACTCGCGCAGCTCCTGTGGAGAGAGTGGCTCCCGCCGAGACGAAGCACCCGGAGAACCTCCAGGCTCAGCACCACCAGACGCCACACGAGCAGGCCCAGCTCCCTCAGGCTCCGCACCCCCAGGCTCAGCACCTCCAGGCGTGGCACCCCCAGGCTCAGCACCCCCAGGCGTAGCACCCCCAGGCTCAGCACCCCCAGGCTCAGCACCCCCAGTAGTAGCACCCCTAGGCTCAGGACCCCCAGGCTCAGCACCCCCAGTAGTAGCACCCTCAGGCTTAGCACCCCCAGGCGTAGCACCCACACGCTCAGCACCCCCAGAGTCAGCACCCCCAGGCTCAGCACCCTCAGCAGCACCAGAGTCACCAGTAACCTCGACAGGCTCGACTGCGTCTACCTGGGACACACCTGAAGGGGCAGGACCCTGAGGGGGGAGGGGGACTACCGGGGGGGGACCTGGCACAAGGAAGAGCGGTGGCGGGGGGAGGGACGGAGTGCGGTAGGGGAAGAGGCGGTAGTAGGGGACCGACTCGTCAAACGTGACGTCCTGGGAGGACACAACACGGCGAGAGGTGGGGTGGTAGAACTGCCACCCTGGCGCGTCAGGGGGGAAGCCAAGGAAGACGCAAGGAGCAGCACGAGGGGACAGCTTGTCCGCAGACAAGTCGCGGACAAACGCCCGAGATCCCCAGACACGGAACGCAGACGCATCGCCAACCTTCCCCGTCCACAGCAAAGCTGGGGAGGTCTCCGGCATGGAGACCCTGGGGTGAAGGTTAATCTGATGCGCCGCGTACCGAACCGCAAACGGCCACAGAAAATGGGGGGCAGCCGCATGCATCATGGACGTACGGGCGACGTCCATGACCATGCCAATGCGGCGCTCAGCAATCCCATTTTGCTGTGGAGAGTCCGGAAGCGTGAAGGTCTGGCGGATGCCTCGTGCACGACAGTAGGCTCGCAGAAGGCCAGAGGAGAACTCTCCACCTCTGTCAGAGTGCAGACGCAGAACAGGAAAGTCCGAGCCGAAGCTCTGCCGGAGCTGGAGACGAGCTGCGCGGATCCAGTCGATCAACACCTCAGTGACATCACCCTTGCTGCGCAAGGGGAAGACTGTGGTGTAGTCGTCAACCACCAGCAGGAAGTAGCGCTCGTGACCCTGTCCACGGACGCGGGCCGGGCCCCACACGTCCATGTGAAGCGTCTGCAGCGGGGCCTCTGTCGGAGGAAACTGGGAGGAGTGAGGGGCAGCCCGCTGCCGCCCCTCGACACAGGGGACGCAGGTAGGGCCAGGCCCCGGAGGAAGGGGAGGGAGGGACCGGGGAAGACCAGAGACAAGGACACGGGAGGCCATGCCTCGGAGACGAAGCAGGGAGGGGTGACCAAGGCGGTGGTGCCAGAGGAGAGTCTCGTGAGACAGGAGGCGACACGAACAGGGGGCAGACTCAGGACCAGACCTGGACGCTGCAGCAAACACCTGACCCGACGCAGCTACCTGACCAGACGCAGTGACTGGAGGAGACGCAGTGGTCAGTGTGTACAGGCTCGACCCCGGCCGACGTGTAAACGTGGCCAGGTGTCGGCCTGTCCGAGCGTCCGTGCAGTGGGTCACCCGCTGACTCGCAGGAGTGAACTGGTGAACCCCCGCATCCTGTAGGTCAGCACCACTCACCAAGTTCGTAGAGAACGAGGGGAGGTAAAGACCAGACAGGGTGCCAGAGGGGGCCGCCGGACACGGGAGGACAGTGGAGAAGTGAGCAAGGACAGGACCCCCAGAGGGGTCTGCCAGAGAGACTGCAACTGGCCGGCCAAGCGGCGTGAGTGTGGTGCGGTCTCGAAAGAAGGAGCGAGAAGCCCCCGAGTCAAGGGTGAAGGTGTGGGAGGCCGAAGCCGATGCAGTACCTGAGAGAGCAGACTCACCAGCACCTGAGGGAGCAGACGCACGAGCACCTAGAGCAGCAGCCTCGCTAGCACCTAGAGCAGCAGCCTCACCAGTACCTAGAGCAGCAGTCTCAATGCCCGGGTCGGGCGGAAACCACCGGTAACAGTCACCCTCATCACTAATAGTCACAGCATACATGGCAGCAAGAATAGCATCAAAGTCAAGGTCAAAGACAGCTACACCCGCCCTAGACAGCTCGCCCCAGCGGGGGATCTCAGTGGCCTCAGGGAACTGGTGACGCCAAGCGTCCGTCAGGCGGCCAAAGCGGCGCTGGGTGGAGTGCGCACCCCCGCACTGCTCACCCGCGCGGTCGCCGGTGCGTAGGACGTAGGTGCACGGACCAGTACCCCCACCCCGCTGGCGTGCAGCGTACCACTCACGGAGCTGCTGAGGGAGGGGGATGTCACGAGTGCGTTGCTGCTGCTGCTGCTGGCGCTGACCACCACCGGAGCCGACCCTCTGCGCAGCGCCACCCCGACCAGCTCCACCTCCTCCGCCGCCGCCTCCTCCACCGCCGCCACCTCCACCACCTCCGCTCCCACCGCCACCGCCGCCGCCGCCTCCGCCTCCACTGCCGCCACCGACACCTCCACCCCCGCCACCACTCCCACCACCACCCCCACCCCCTCCACTGCCTCCACCGCCACCTCCGCCACCCCCGCCAGCCCCTCCAGCACCCTTGCCCCCCTTGCCCTTGCCGGTGCGGCGTCTCCCGCTCGGGGCAGACGCAGCGCCGACCGAATTGAAACCAACGAGGTCGGCCGCAGCAGCAGAGGCAACAGAGGGCAAAAGGGGGGAGGGGGAACACCCCTCAAAGACGGGGGTGCGAGGGTCACCACGAGAGGCTCCTACAGCGACTATGCTCTTCTCTGCTGCTAGGAGGGCCTTCTCGAGGAGGTCAACGGTGAGAGTGGTGGGGCAAACTGAGAGGAAGTGGTCCCTGACTATGCGAAGGGAGTCAGGGAGCCGGGTGACTATGTAGTAGAGGGTGATGTACATGGGGGGGGGGGGTTCTTGGCGCAGAACTCAGCAGGAAGCGCAGCGCGGTAGCGAGTGTCACTAGTGCGGAGGTGCGTAATGAGGTCAGCGACTGTGGGAAAGGCAGCAAGGTCAGGGAAGAGGTACGGTAGCATGAGGCGGCTCAGTGCAGCAGTGGCAGGGGAGGAGTAGCGCGCAACTACAGCGTCGTACAAGGTGTGAGCACTCTTGTACTGGCTAAAGTGCGCACGCTCAGAGGTAGGCAGGTGGCAACGCACAGCAAGACGTGCAGCAGCATCGCGTGTGGCCCACTGTGAGCGAACAGTGGCGTCGGCATCAGCAGCAGGGGCAGGAGAGGCACCAGAGGTGAGGTCAAAGAGGGAGAGACCGTCTGCCCTATCGCACTGTAGGAAAAGCTGCAGGTCATCTACCTAGACGTCAAAGTCAATGGCCCGACCCTCAGCGTCAAAAGCGAGGACACTAGGGGTAGCCATGACAGCAGTAGACTAGCAGCGCGAACAGTAGGGTAAGGGCAGTGCAGTGACAGAGGCGCTGCTCTTACCGGACAGGGCGGCTCGGGCGGCTCGGCGGCTCGGCGGCTCGGCAACTCGGCGGCTCGGGCGGCTCGGGCGGCTCGGCGGTACGGCGGCTCGGCAGCAACTGCGGCTCGGCGACTCGGCGGCTCGGGCGGCTCGGGCGGCTCGGCGGTACGGCGGCTCGGCAGCAACTGCAGCTCGGCGGCTCGGCGACCCGGCGGCTCGGGCGGCTCAGGTGGCGCGGCGGCTCGGGCGGCTCGGGTGGATCGGGCGGCTCGGCAGCAGCTCGGCGGCGCCGGCGGCTCGGTGGTGACGGCGGGGCCGCGTGGGGACGGCGGCGGGGCCGGGTGGAGCGGTGGCGGGGCCGGGTGGAGCGGCGTCGGGGCCAGTAGAGGCGGCGCCGGGGCCGGGAAGGGCAGCTCCGGGGCCGCAGGGGTAGGCGACGGGGCCAGCAGAGGCGGCGCCGAGGCAGGGAAGGGCGGCGCCGGGGCCGCAGGGGTAGGCGACGGGGCCGCTAGGGCGGCTAGGAGGGGGGGGTCGCGAGGGCGGCTTGAAGAGGCCGCGAGGGCGGCTAGAAAGGGCCGCGAGGGCGGCGTGAAAGGGCCGCGAGGGCGGCGCGACGCGACGGAGCCGCGAGGGCGGCGGATCGGGGCCGCGAGGGCGGCGCGACGCGGCTGCTAGGGCGTGAAGGGGCCGCAAGGGCGATGCGACGGGGCCGCAAGTGCGACGCGACGGGGCCGCTAAGGCGGCGCGACAGGGT